TTTCTCAACTAAACCCTTAAAGCTAGGAGGTCCTGGAACAACATGGTTCAAGCTCTGTAAGAAAATGGATGCCCACCAAGAATCCTATGTCCAGCAAAATTAAGCAACAGATTTGAAGATGAAATAAAAACCTTCTATGATTAACAAAAGTTAAAAGAATTCCCAACTAGAAAGCCTGAACTACAGAACATACTCAGCAAAATATTCCATAGGGAGTAAATGAAAAAAAAACAACAACAACAATGAAAACCAGCAAAGGGAGGAACTACACTAAAGGAAAGGTCAATCAAAGGAGAAACTAAGTCAAGTTAAAAACTAGAAACACACGCAAATGACCAGGAACACAAATCGTATCTCAATAATAACCTTGAATGTTAATGACCTAAACTCATCAATCAAAAGACATAGACTGGCAGATTGGATTAAAAAACAAGACCCAGCAATATGCTAAGAGACTCACCTCATAGACAAAGACATCCATAGACTGAAAGGTGAAAGGATGGGTATAAACATATAACTCACAAGGATGTATAAACAACAGGGACTTCTACCCTCATATCAGATAAAGTGGGCTTCAAGCCAAAGTTAATCAGAAGGGACAAAGAAGGCCATTTCACACTGCTCAAGGGAATTATATATCAACAAGACATAACAATTGTAAATATTTTTGCCCCAAACAAACATATGGAGCATTTATGTACATCAAAGGAACCCTTCTCTATTTCAATAATTAAATAGACACAACACAATAATACTGGGGAACTTTAACATACCTGTGTCATCACTGGATAGCTCCTCCAAACAAATGCTAAATAAAGAAGATATAGAAGTAAAAATAAAATTGATAATTTAGACTTAAGAGGCATATATAGAATATTTCATCCATCATTAAGTGAATACACCTTCTTCTCAGCAGCACATGGATCGTTCTCTAATACAGACCATGTTATATAAGCTATCACATATGTTTGTGTGCAATTATAATATTAATTGAACATATTTTTAGCATCTGTAGGGCTATTTTGATAGCTCTATTTCCATTGATATTAATTTTTGCATTCTTGCTTTTTTCTTGATTAGACTTCTTTGATTTTTATCAACTTTAAGCTGTGTTATTTCTTCTCTAGTTCATATATTTCTGGTCCTACTCTTATATTTTTCTCCCTACTATATACTTTGAAAATAATCTGATTATTAATCTAGCTTCTTTCTGATACAAATGCTGTAAGTTATAAATGCTTATCTGAGTGCCGTTTCATCCCAGAAATCCTGATACATTAAACTTTTATTATTACTTAGTTCAAAGCACTTATTATTTATTTTTCTCTGCTTTCTTCTTTGACCTCTGAGATATTCATAAGTGTGATGTATGATTTTGAAGTGAGTTGACCTGTAGGGGTGGAGTTCTACAGACCTTAAGGTGATTTGTTTTTAATGTAATATATTGTGCAGGAAACACAGTCTGCATGATTTCATATTTTTTTAAAGAGATGGAGAGGGAGGGGGAGAGAGAGAGAGAGAGAGAGAGAGAGAGAGAGAGAGAGAGAGAGAGAATTTTTTATTTGTTATTAGTTATTTTTAGTTTTTGGTGGACACAACATCTTTATTTTATTTTTTATGTGGTGCTGAGGATCGAACCCAGCACCCTGCAAATGCCAGGTGAACGTGTTACCGCTTGACCACATCCCCAGCCCAAATTCATATTTTTAAAAAAAGCATTGCAAATGCTTTTTATGTTGATTATATAGGTTGCATAGATGTCAAAACTGATCGAATTGCATACTTCAAATATGTACATTTTATTGTACTTCAATTTTACCTCAATACATTTATGGAAAAAAGAAATAATAAAAAATATTTTCTGACCACAATGAAATGAAGTTAGTAATCAATCAAATAATACAAGAAGTAGGGAAAATCACAAATGTATGGAAATTTAAAAACACTCCAGAATAGTCAAGGGCTTAAGAAAATTAAAATAAAGCTAGGAAACACTCTCAAATTAATGAAAATTAAGAAAAAATACATCATATTTAGGAGACACTAATAAAGGAGCACTTAGAGTAAATTTGTAGCTGTAAATGCCTGCATTAAAAAGGATTCAAAAAAAAAAATAAAAATAAAAAGGATTCAAATGAATAACCAAACCTTCACCTTAAGGCATAGGAACAGAAGAGCAAACTAAACCTTAAACAGATATAGAGAAGGAAACAGGGAAGAAATAGCAGAATATAATAGCAAGAAATAGTAGAAAATAATAAAGAACAGAGAAGCTATCAATGGAACCAAATAGAATACTTTGGAAAGATGAACAAAAATTGACAAATTGTCAGCTGGATACACTAAATAAAACAATAGTAAGATGATTAGGATCAGAAAAGAGAGAGGATGCAATATTACTTACTTTGCAATAAGAAAAACAATCTGAATTCTGCTGTGAACAATGGGGTGCCAAAAAATTAGATAGCATACATAAAATGGACAAATGGTAGATAGACAAGAAACTAGTAATGGTGACTCAAGAATAAATAGATATTTTGAATATAACTAGAACAAGTGAAGACACTGAATTAGTAATAATATATTTTATAAATATACCTACAAAGAAAACTCCTTCTCCAAATGACTTTACTGGTAAATTATACCACAGAGGTGAAGATAATTATTGATGACAGCTCAGGCTCCTGGCTCACTATGGGAATTCTAGGGTTTGACTCTTGGTTTGAATCTTGGCTCCACCATTTGTGGGTTGTGAGACCTTGGGAAAGTTTCTGAGCCCATTGTGTCTCTGCTTTACGTTCTATACAATGAGGATGACGCTGACTGTTGTACTGAATGTTCACTGTGGTTAAATAAGTGACTGTGGTTAAAATAGCATAAACATAAAAATGAGATAGTCTTGTAAAGTCAATAATTATTTAGACATATGACTTTTTTAAACTGTTGTATGTATTTCACAGGACATGGTCATAACTGGGAGAGAGACCTAAGATGCAAGGGCTTTTGTGAGCTGTTGGGGGAGGTATCCATGTCAGGCGGCAATGACTTCTACAGCTGCAGGCACAGAAACTGAACGAAAAAAATTAAAGGATAAAAATACAGAAACAACCCTCTTTCCTCAAGTGGAAAATGAATGAAACAGGAAAAGTCAAGGCACCCTCCACTGGTCACGATGGAGCTGTTCTTCTATCTGAGGTAGCCATGACCCCACACAAACCCCCTCATCTTCCTAGGCTCAGCTTTCTCTCCTGACTTTGCCTTCTTGTGGCTCACAGTGGCCTTCAGCATTTAAATGTGTTCTTTGAATACTGCGGGATGCTGTGAGAATTTGTTTATATAGTGTTTGTTAATAATCATAGGAATTTTCCTATCACATGGAGGAGAAAAGTGGGTAACAGATTACTGAAGTAATTAGTTCCAAGTCCAGCCAGAGCTTCTACAGAGCTCGTGTCCTTGGTTTCTCTTCAGTAGGAGAAGTGATCCTGGACCTGGTCACTGCTCACCTAAAGCTCTTGGTCTCTAAGGATGGTGCACATGTGACCATGGTAGATTTTGCTAGGCCAATGCTCATTCTAAAAGTGTTGGAGGGAGCGGGTGAAAGAACCCCCTATGTGCTGAGTTGTGGGGTTTTCTTTCTGTACCTGGCTTATTTCATTTAGATTTTTCCAAGCAATAAGTATCTACAACAGACATTTTCAAGGAAATGTGGTGCCATCATTAAAAAAAAAAAAACAGAAACAAAAACAAAAACTTTAAAGGATGGAGTAGAATTGGAACTGGGTAATGGGTATACCTTGAAGAACTTCAAAGAGGCTTTTTAGGAGAAACTTTATTAGGAGAAACAGAACTTCAATGTAAGAAACAGAGACAGTGCAAAATACAAAGAGACTTATAGAGCCCTCTAGTTCTCTGAGCAAGAAGCAGTGAAGAAATTATGCAATTGCAAACATACCAGGGGCACCTTTGTGCCTTTGTGATGTTGTGCTGGCTGTGATCCAGAATTAAGTTACATAAAAAATGCTGAGATCCAACACTTTAACTTTGTTGCTGATCCCCAAAAGAAAGTGTTGATCCTTTTTATCACTGATACATATGAGAGTGATAGAATTTTATTACTTTCCCTAATCTTATTGAGAATGTTCTTTTCAATACCTAGAGCCCTAGAGATTTTACCATGACATTATATTGAATTTTAACAAATGCTTTTACTGCATCCTTTGGAATGAACCTATGACTTTTCACCATCATTCTGTTAATGTGGTGACATGGATTTTTGTTTTATTCTAAAACAAAAGACCAGCCTTGATTTCCCATGACATGATAAAACCACCATGGACAGATATATACTGCTTTTTGCATGTTTTTGGAGCAAGTTCTAGAATTAATCTTGTTAAGGACAGTGAAACTGCTGAGTGGAGAAAATGAAAACCTAAGAGGAATTTATCTAGGATGAGAAATCATAAGATCCTTCTTCTCTGGGACTCTCATAATCTGGTCCCTTTAAAAATACTGCAGAAATGATGGAAAATATAATCCAGGAAACTGCCCTGGGTTTTGTGGGACAATGACAGGAGAAAGGATTTCTGCTGCTCTCAAAGAGAGACACCCAGGGGAGAATGAGACCAGAACTCATACTTAATAATAAGAATAGGGATAATTCTCCATAGAAACTGAGAAACAAAAAAAGATGGGAGCACAAGGTCAGACTCAGGTCTCAGCCTACGTTAACCCACTCAATGTGATGCCCTCCCTGCCCATGGTCCTGGAGACAGGACCTGCCCTGGTGATGCCTGAGTCCCTGTCATTACAGGTCCTGGTGGGATGAGGTTCAGTTGAATGGATGGGTCTAAGGACCAAGGAAGATGATCCAGCTGAGGAGTGACCACATCAAACCCAGGATGGGCTAGCAAAGACTGGGTGCTGCTTTGTCCACCTTCAGCTCCTTTCATCTTTCTCCTGTCCCCCCTGAGGCAGAGTCAGCACAGCAAACATGTGGATTATGGAAGGTTTTGGGTTTTATTTTCTCTCAGAAATTTTAGGAATCCTCTTTTCACTTAATTAACCCACAACCGTAATTCATGGAACATATGTGAAATACAAATCAATATACACATTCTGTTTTGCAAAGGGCAAGGAAAAGTCTAGAGCCCAGGGCAACATAAAGCTACCAGGAATGAAGACATCCCAGCCCCGCATTTGCTACATAGGAAAGTTAATTGAGGAAGAGAACAGGACAGTGTTGGGAGGGGTCTTGGTGATCAAAGATGAGCGCCTGTCTCCATTTCCTCATGATCTGATGACAGGAATACAGACACATAGACACAGTTTATTGCCAGCTGCACAAAGAGAAGTTGGGACCTCTTGAAACTGCAGTAGGGAGCAGGAAGAGAACTGAAGAAATCCTGTATTACTCAGTTGAAAGAAAATACTGTAAAAGAAAGTATTATGAACAAATTCAGATAAGTCATTGTAATGAAGACACTCTGAACAACCCATTAAACACTTAAAATATCAGAAATTCCTGGGACAGTCCCTGTAACTCAGAGTCTCCCCATACCTCAACTCTTCTCCCTCAAGGCCCTCCAAGGTCTCACCTTTTTAACCAGTGAGAGACACATCAGAGCCTTGGGAACTGTCATTACCTGAGCAGAGCAAAAACAGAACCTGGTCAGAGTCCACAGGAGACGTGGCTAATGGATGAATTATGGGTGGATCAGCTCCCCCATGGCTTCCGACTACAGTCACCCAGGTGTCTCGAAGATCACTGTTCTTCATACTTACAGGCAGCTGGAGCATAGGTGTCTGGTTGTACACCTGTGGGAAGAAAGCTGCCTGTGAGACAGCAGCTTGGAAACAGGTCTGAGAGTGTCCCCTAGTCCTGGACACTGGGGAAGTCTCCAGAACTGTGACTGTAGATGTAGGAAAGGATCAGGAGACAAGAAGAAAATAGATAGGTAAGGATGAAGATAGTTACTTTCCTGGAGTTCTGTCTTCACCAGGAAAATTCCCTCTCTGGCCTCTAAATGCTGGGAATCAGGCCCCCATCACCACAAATATCAAGAGGATATATTTGTCCTTTAGTTTCTGTGCACCTTACAAAAAGTAAACAGGGTCCAGGTTGGGTAAGGACACTTGTAGATGTTACTTCCCATTAACAAGGCAGGGCATATTATCAGGAACTGCCTGTAGGAGCTGAGCACAACACCTTAGCCTTGAGCGATGGAGGTGTGGAACTGGCTTCTGTTGTGCACAAAAGCAAGTGGACTTCACCTTTGCTAGGCAGGGGACTGAAGCTCTGGGAGTGGACATTACCTAATGGGAGTGGCCTGCCCCCCTGTTCTCCTTTAACACTACCCTTTCTGCCTTATTTGGATGAAATGTTCTTTCAAACACTCTCCCCCAATAAAAACCAAGGTTTGGGGCATGCTCTTTCTCTGTTGCCTGCCTCCCTTCCTTTCTCTTGTCCCTCTTGTGGGAGCTTGCAGTTGAGGCAGAAGAACCGAACTGAAATGCCCCCCAAAAGGTCTAAATGTTTTTGTGTTTTGTTGTGCCAGCCCAATTCACCCTAGAGACCTGGGTTTTTGTAGCCCATGTGAAACGTTGGCTAAAACACACTTCTACTAGGTTCTTCAAATCACCAGTGGGACAAAAATTCAGACCCTGCACTTTTCCTACCTGTTTTTCTTCTTCCAAAAGACAAAAGCGACCACAGCTCCAGTGACAACAGCTCCAAGGAGAATTACACCAGCAACAATTCCCAAGATGGGGATGGTGGGCTGAGGGGGTGGCTCTGGGAGAGGAAGGGAAGTTAGATGAGGGGACCTGATCCCCTGCTCTCAGTCCCTACCCTGCTGAGGGTCTCCAGAAAGCCTCCTGTTTTCCTGACAATAGGCTCTGTGCCCTCATTCCCTCCTTACCCCATCTCAGGGTGAGTGGCTCAGGCAGCCCCTTATGATGCACATGGCAGGTGTATCTCTGCTCGTCTCCAGCAGGCACTACCACAGCTGCCCATTTCTGGAAGTTTCCATCCCCTGCAGGCCTGGTCTCCACAAGTTCCATGTCCTGGGTCTGGTCCTCTCCATCCCGCTGCCAGTTCAGGGTGATCTCCTTAGGGTAGAAGCCCAGGGCCCAGCATCTCAGAGTGACATCCCCTTCAGGGATAGGGTGGTGAGTCACATGAGTCTTCGGGGGGTCTGAAAAAAAGAACTGGGAAATTCAGACATTTTGGCATTTCCTCTTGGGCCACTTAAGCGGTGCTCACATGGCCATCATAAGACCATCCTGAGTAATGAACAACATAATTCAGGTGGGGGAGAGAGCACAAAACCTAGACACAAGCCAGGATGCAGACTTCTGGCACAATCTATTCCTTGGAAAGTTCTAAAATCAGATTGAAACAACCCAGTGGAAGAGGTTTCAGGTCCTTGAGAGGGACTTCAGAATCTGATCTTGATAGAGGTTGGGACACTTGGAAAAGCTGGAGTCAGACCTCCAAGGCACTAGGCTGAAGCAGAACTGACTGTCCTGGATGCCAAGACTGCTGACAGGCACCTGTGGTCAGGTATTTATTGCCTTTCCCACCAGCCAGGGAGAGACAGACCAGATCCCTTCCTTGTCCTCAGAGAAAGAAGCCTTCAATTCCTCTCTAGTACAGAACTGGGGAATCCAGGCTCACACCCTCCCCTCTGGACTATGAGCAGGGCGATGCTCTACAGTGGGCACCATTCTCCTCCCCTCCTCCTGGGAACTGCTAGAGAGATCTACAGGAGATGAGGCATGTGTTCAGCAGCTGCTCATACCTGCTCGCTGCAGCGACTCCTTCCCTTTCTCCAGGTAGCCTGCAAGACACTTCAAGCAATCTCCTTCCAGGTAGGCCCTTAAGCTCTCTGCAACACCAGCCGCTTCCCACTTCCGCTGGGTGATCTGAGCCGCCTTGTCTGCCGCGGTCCAGGAGCGCAGGTCCTCATTCAGGGCTATGTAATCCGCGCCATCATAGGCATACTGACTGTACCCGCGGAGGAGGCGCCCATCTGTCCCCATGTCGCAGCCATATATCCTCTGGTAGGTGTGAGAGCCTGTCCCCGCCCCGCTGTCAGCCAGGGTCTTGACCTGCCCACCCCGAGGGTTTTTGTCCTAAACTGAAAATGAAACCGGTCACAGTCCCCAAGGGCGCATTCTGGGTCGAGAGTCTCCGCGGGTCCCTCAGACTTGGGGTGAAGCTTAGCCCGGGAATCCCTGACTTCTCGGGACCATCTGTGAGGGACTTGAGGGGTCCGGATGTCCGACATGGACCCGGTCACTCACCGCCCGCGCTCTGGTTGTAGTAGCCTGGCAGGTTGTTGAGGCTCACTAGGTCACTCTGTGCATTGTCCTTGGCGGTCTGTGTCTCCCGTTCCCAATACTTGGGTCCCACCTTCTCCATCCAGGGCGCCCGGGGCTCCATCCTGGGATTCTCGGTGTCGCTGTCGAAGCGCACGAACTGCGTGTCGTCCACGTAGCCCACGGAGATGAAGCGGGGCTCCCCGCCGGGGCGGGACACGCAGGTGTCGAAATACCTCAGGGAGTGGGAGCCTGGGGAAGGGAGCCACTGAGACCACCCAACCAGGTCCCAGGTTGACTACCCAGGAAGAGAGGAGCGGGGTCCAGAGTCGCTAAGGGGGCTGTGAGAGCAGAAGGGCAGGACATAGGGGCGGGAGGGGAGGGGCGGGAAGAACCTTGCCATGCTGGTGAGGGTCTGGGCTGGGGGCGGTGGGGACGCACCTTCCCCAGGACCTCAGTGCTCACTGGATGGTCCCCTCGCTCCTCCCACTTGGAGGCTATTTCCCTCTGAATCCTGTGCTCACCCGCCCAAGTGTCCCTCAGGGCCAAGGCCCCCAAGAGCAGGAGGAGCAGCATTGGAGGCGCCAGCACCCTCATCCTGCAGCTCTGTGGAGATTCTGCGACTTGGAGTGGGGGCGGGGGGAGGTCGCTGTGGACTTTAAAATTCAAACCGCAGTGACAAAGATTGGCTTCTTTAGGAGAAGACGACATGGGAGTGAGAACTGTGGACCAGTCAGGAGTGCCCAGGCAGAATGACCTGGCCCAGGTTGGGAGGAGAAAAGTGAAACTCCCTGGAGACAGGGATTCTCAGCGCTCCCTGTCCACACCCCAGGCACAGCTCTAGAGCCCGAGAGCCACGCCCAGGGCTGGGAGTTTGCCCTGAACCCTCCTCCTTACTAATCATTCTTTGTCTCACCATCCCTTGATTTCTGACTCAGGGTGTAAAATCAGCAGTTCTCAAACGTTTTGGTTTCAGGATCTTTATATGCTCTTAGAAAGTAGTGTGTACTCCAGAGGTAGGTAGATTTATGTGGGTTATGTCTATCAATATTTGCCATATTAGAAGTTAATGCCATTTTTCAGATATTTTATTCTTCCTGAATATTAATAACTAATTGCATGTTAAATAATTGCATGAAAAATGTGCGGCACTCTTTGAAACAGTAGTTTCAAAGAAAAATAACTTTTCCCAAATTAAAATATTTATTAGGAAAAATGGATCATTTTACTTTTTACAATTTTATTTGTCAAAAGAGAATGCTAGATATTCATATTTTCTGCATTTAACTTGTGACTTTGGTTGAAACAAAAAAATGTAGCCTCACACAAATATTTATAAGAGGAATGTTTTTAATAACGTTTCCAGTATTCATCTTTGATACTACACTAAAATGATACAAGTGTTAGCTTCTTAAAAGTTCTTTTCCACAAGAACCATAAAATACTGTCATTGAATAGTCCATATTTTATCCATTAAAGTCTGTGGATGTGTCTTGTACATTGAATTGATCTTGTGCTAATGCATGATATTTTTTAAAGTCATGCATTGTTTGACTAAGCTATATAGACCTTCTAGTGTTAACACATTTAAGTAAAATTAATCAAGTGGTCTTATGTTGATTATTTGATATCACCACAGATTTCACCAGAAAGTGTTGTAAGTACTTGGGAGTCTGTCAGGTTGATAGTGGTGGATGCAGGTTTGCCCAGATTTTTTTTTTTTCCTCTTGAGAGCATACATTTTATCATTGAATATATTGCTGTCAGTGGATTATCTCAAAGGGACAGGTTAAGGTCATTTTTTAGAACATTGGCCAAATATTGAAGTGTAATTAATACCTCCCCTGTCATTCATTCTTTTAATCAGGAATGGTATTCCATAAAGATGACACTAGTAAACCTCACTAAATGGCTTTTGTTGACACAAACTCCCTATTGTTGAATGTAGTAGGTGTGTTTTATGTGTACTTCCCCTTTTTATCAAATAAGTGTATTTATAATGTGCACAATGGAATGGCAATTTAATAAATTTAATGATTTTTAATACTTCAGGACATATTTAAGTGAACTGGAATGCCTTCCCTTCTACAGTTAAAAGGTGCTCAAGAACGCAATAACTATTATTGCAGTTTGGTACCATTACTTCCACTTTGCTGAGTTTTATTTATTTTAAATAGTGTTTTAGTGATATTATAAAAATATTTTTTGATAATATAGATCCTGTGCAATAGTCTAAACACCTCTGGGGGTTCCAAAAATGACACTTTGAGAATTGCTGCTCTCAGTAAACTGTGGAGAGATCCCAACTGGTTCCATCCTCTTCCCTTGATTCACTGCCACTACTCTAGATAATTGCTAAAACATGTAGAAAGATATGGTGTTTGTGAACAAGTAGTGAAATTATGCAGAAAACAAAAATAATTTCTTAGAAATTTAAAACTAGTCACAGAAATGAATAAGTCTATAGGTGATTTGGGCAATTAAAATAGTACCAGAAAAGAAGTCATATACCTAGTAAAAAAGTTATAGTTGGACTAAGAGCTAGGGTGTCCTAAAGATATTTCAGATGTTTAGAGTTTCGACATTTTCTTTTCCATATTTCTATAGGATATGGCTAAATGAAGTGAGAAACAAAAATGATGGAGGAAAACCAAGGAAAGGGGATATGTGAAATGCAGTTAAAAGGAGCCAGCACAAGAATGGAGGCCAAGTGTGTTCCCCCCTGAGGTGAAGGAGATCCAGGGAGTCAGCCTGATCCAGTTGTGAAGGCATCCAGTCCAGGTCTGGCAGGACTGAGAGTTCTAGGATTGGTGTCTTAACAAAGACCACATTGGTGGAATCCTAGTTATGCCTGAATATATTCATGGAGATTTAGTCTGTTGGGCTGCAACACCACATATTGAGGAAATTATGAAGAACAGAAACTTATTCTCTCACTGTTAGTAAGGTTGGGAAGTCAAAGGTCAAGGCACTGGCATCTGGCTAGGGTCCTCCTCTTGTTTACTCATGTGGGACAGTTTCAAATGTGCAGGCTCTGAAGGGACTATGAGGCAGTCCTTACCTGAGTCCTACTTTTTTTCCATGTGAAAAGAGAAAGAATTTCATCCTCTAGGAGTGAGAAATGGGGAGGTAGAGTGGGATGCAAGAAGGCAGGAGAAAGTGAGAAATGTACTTTTTGGGGGCAGAGAGCCAACTAACCTGGAAAATGGTATTTGGAGAGAGCAGTACAGGGGGCCACTGAAGCCTGTGTTTTTCTGGTCTAGGCGTATGGATTATTTTTAGCTTGTAACATACTATGGTTAAGATTTTGTGATTTTTCTGTATCAAATATACACTATAGTCATACATTACCTAATGACATGAAATGTGTTTTGATTCTTTGAAGCGAATATCACCCCGATACCAAAGCAGATAAGGACACATCAAGGAAACAAAACTATAGATCAGTATGCCTGATGAACATAGATGTAAAAATCCTTAATAAAATATTAGCAATTTGCATTCAAAAACCCATTAAGAAGATCAGTTCCATCTAACATTGCAAGGTTGGCTCAATATATGAAAATCAGTAAATGCAATGTATCACATAAATAGAATTAGAGAAAAACATTACATAAACATCTCAGTAAATATAAAAAAATCCCTTTAACAAAATTCAGTACCTATTCACGTTAAAAACACTGAAAAAACTAGGAATAGAAGGAACTTGTGTCAACATTGAAATTTTATATATGTCAAACCCAAAGCTGATGCCATACTAAGTGGAAAACAATTGAAAGTATTTTCTTTAAAAACTGAAATAAGACACAGATGTTCACTCTCACCACTCCTATTCAATACAGTACTTGAAACTCTAGCCAGAGCAATCTGACAAAAGATGAAAATTAAAGAGATAAAAATAGAAAAGGATTCAATATCCCTGTTTGCTGATGACATTATTCTATACTTAGAAGACCCCAAGGGAAAAAAAAACAACACACTTTTAGAGCTGATAAATTCAGCAAAGTAGCTAGATTCAAGATCAACTAGCAAAAGTCAAACTATCCTAGACACCAATAATGATCCTACTGAGAAAGAAATCAGGAAAATTCCATTCACAATATCCTCAAACAAATAAAAAACTGTGAATACATCTAAACAATGAGAGATGTGTACAGTGAAAATTATAAAAACATTGAAGAAAGAAATTAAAGACATTAGAAAATGGAAAGATCTCCCATGTTCTTGGATTGGCAGAATTAATATTGTCAAAATAGCCATATTACCAAAAGTGATGTACAGATTCTCTGCAATCCCCATCAAAATACTAATGATTTTCTCAAAGAAAAAAACAGTCCCAAATTTCATATGGAAGAAGAAAAGACCCAGAATAGCCAAAGCAATTATTAGCTATTAATCAGAGCAATGCTGGAGGTGTTAAAAATACTCAATCTCAAATTATGGTGCAGACTTGTCATAACAAAACCAGCTTGGTATTAACATAAAAACATACAGGAAGTCCAGTGGACTAGAATAGAAGGAATATAGACTGACCTACAGAGATCCAGTCTTCCGATCCTTGACAAAGGTGGCAAAAACAAATTGGAGAAAACATAGCTTTTAAACAAATGGTACCTGGCAAACTGGATATCCATATGCAGAGGAATGAAACTGGATCCTTATCGCTCACCCTGCATAAAAATCAACTGGAAGCAGATCAAAGACCTAGGAATTAGACCAGAAGCATTGCAACTGCTAGAAGAAAACAGGCCAACACTCCAACATGTTGGCTCAGGCATCAACTTCCTTAATAAAACTCCTACAGCTCAAGAAATAAAACCAGGGATCAATAAGTAGATATCAAATAAAAAGATTTCTGCAGAAAAAGGAAACAAATAAGAGAATGGAGAGAGAGCCTGTAGAATTGGAGAAAACCTTTGACAGATACTCTCTGACAAGGGATTAATATCCAGAATGTATAAAAACTTTAAACACTTGCCAGAAGAAAAGCAAGTAACCCTGCCAATAAATGAACAAAAGAACTAAACAGACATTTCTCAAGAAGAAATTCAAATGGCATTTCATATATACATATATGTTTATATCTATATCTATCTATCTATATCAGAGAAATACAAATCAAAACTCCATTGAGAGTTTATCTCTCACAACTATTAGAAGACCAATCATCAAGATTACAAATAATAAATGCTGTGGAGGATACGGGGTTAAGTGTACACTTAAAACATTGTTGGTTGGCCTGCAAATTAATACAACCACTTTGGAAATTGGTATGAAGATGCCTCAAAAAGCTAGGAATGGCACCGCCATATGACCAGTTATCCCACTGCTTGATATTTGTTCAAAAGAACTAAAATTAACATACTCTACTGAGATAAGCACACCTACCACTGTTTACAGCAGCACAATTCCCCAATATCCATATTATACAACAGATCTAGGTATATGTCAACAGATATATATGTGCTATATGTACACAGTGGCGTTTTACCCTGCCATAAAGAAGAATGAAATAATGTCATTTGTTAATAAGCTGATAGAACTGGAGAATATCATGCCAAGTGAAACACACCAGACTCAGAAAGTCAAGGAGCAAAATTTTCTTTCCTATGTAGAAGCTGGAGAGGAAAACAAAGAAACAAACAAAACCAGAATAAAGAGGAATCTTTAGATCAGCCATCTCTGCCCTAGTCCTTCCACGGTCTGATCCT